TCTATCTCCCACTGTTCAAATAAACCTGCCACTAAAATTATAGACTGATCATTTCTTTGTCAGCGGGCAAACGTACAAAATCAGCAGGGGATCAAATACTTTTTTCCCTCACTGTATCACTTGCTACGCATGTTGACTGTGGACAGGAATCGAATCTAAGACTAAAATAGTGCAATTATTCCATATTGGTTTAAAGGATAATTTAAGTGAATCTGAGGGGGCACTGCTGTGGCGAGATGTTAAATACCTCACCCGGTATACACGGGAGGTCGTGGGTTCGATCCAAACCCTGACACCTACTGTATATTGGGAGTTTGCATGTTCTCCCCATGGTCGTGTGGATTTTTCACCGGGTCCTCCGGTTTTTCGCTCCACATTGAGAAACATACGCGTAGAGTATTTGGCTGCTATACATTTGCAAATGATAAGCTACTTAGCTATCATTCGTGACAGCCAGGTCGTTTCTGAAAAAGAGCTACTGTATATAGATAGCTCTGTGGGCCTTCTCTGGTAATATAAAAAGTAGTTCAGTGTGCCTGCGACCAAAATTCAGCGTGCTAACCCACCTGTTTGTACCACATTTTACATTTCACCGAGTTGCCAAGTTTGTGGATAAGGAAAATACCTCCCCGTATATCCTTAACAGACTGCTGGGGCAAGTGCTGTTAGCGAGCACCTATGAAGGCTGGAATGGCACATGACGGGGTGGGTGGCCAGCACCACGCCCGACTGCCTTTGTCTCCCTAGTGGCGATGTTTACACAATGCACCAGGTACTCATTTAAGGCCGAGTCGACCTAGGTGGAGGCCCTGGACCGGTTCCAAAAGTCGCCACTGGTGTTGGCCGTGAGCAGAAATCCAACTCGAGTCGCCGCTACACTACTGCTCTTCACAGTAAAATACAGACGCACACCAGTATCGATATACCCTTAGTGCCTATCTTATTACAGACCAATTCAGACCCTTTTGGTCACAACATGTCTCAACTTTCATCATACAAAGTCCCATCACAAATAGACAACATTTTTTTTCTGTATTGAAACAGATGCACGCCGTATGGACCTGAAAACTCTATTTCCCTGTACAAGAATACGGGGTAAACCGTATGGATGGAGACGATGTACTGACGTGATCAAGCGAGCTATGCAGGGCTTGCAGAAGCGGTGTCCGCAGTGGGTCTGCACGGCGTCACGGAGGAGGCCCTGACAGGAGCCGCACGCAAACCGCGCGGCCACTCCAGGCGCCCCCCCGCCGCCGCCGCCGGGCGAGTCGGGGCGAGCGAGCAGGGCGCGAGGGTAGCCGCACATCGCTCGCTCGCCTGGGCTCCTGCCCTCGGCCATGCCGTGCACATCCTAGAATGGGGAGGGAAGAAAACACATGAAAGGGTGAAACGTCGTTCACTCTTTAGTCGCACCCACGTCGTCGTCGTTGACGTCCTTCTACACCGGTGGTTTTTAACCAGAGGTGCGCGTCGCCCTGAGAAGTGATTCTTGCAAACTGTTACAGATAATAGGATTGCTTTTTTTACTTCACAAAACACCACGTGTGTGGTGTTTAATGTACATTGAAAAAACAAACTATTTAGACCGCATTCGTGCCTCTCACCAACAGAGCTGGCTTACTGAATCAGCAGATTTCTGGCACGGGTTTACTGATGCTGGAAAGTCCCCAACCATGTTGGGGGATCCAACCTTCTACATCGCAACATTCGCCACAGTTCAAGGTAAAAGTGCACCAATCCGCATGACATCAAATATTGACACCTCTGATGAGCACGGCTGGCTACATATGGTGCGAAAGAAGTTGAACAGAAAGAAAAAGATCCCTCGTATAGCCTGTAACAGGCTGTAACAGGCTGTTGGGGCGAGTGCTGTTAGCGAGCAGCACCTATGAAGGCCGGCACTGTGGCACACGAGGGAGTGGGTGGCCGGCACCACGCCGGGCCGCATGTCTCCCCAGTGGCGATGTTTTTACACACCGTATCAGGTACTCATTTGAGGCTGAGTAGACCTAGGGGAGAGGCCCACGACCGGTTCAGATAATCGTCACCGATGTTGGGCGTGAGCGGGAATCGAACTCGGGTCGTCGGGTTCGTAGCGCAACGCGCTGCTGCTACACCACCGCTCCCCGTTCGACAAAGACACCAGAGACACACACATACACACAGACGATCAATACGTTAGAGCGAATTTTGGACAGCAGTGGCCCTCCACGGCCGCGCACGGGACTCGCAATTCCAGACGACGTCGCCGGCTCCATCTCACGGCGCGGCAGCTGAGACGATGGCGCGAGTTTCTTACCCCCCCCCACACCACCACCCCCACCACCACCCCCACACCACCCCCCCGACCACGACCACCACCCCCCCAAGACCCACCCCCACCACCACGACCACCCCCCCCACCACCACCCCCACCCACCCACCCCCACCACCCCCCCACCGCCACCACCCCCCCCCATCGCCACCACTCCCCCCCACCGCCACCACCACCCCCCCACCGCCACCCCCCCCCCCACCGCCACCACCCCCCCCCACCGCCCCCCCCCCCGCCGCCACCCCCCCCCGCCGCCACCCCCCCCCGCCGCCACCCCCCCCCCACCGCCACCACCCCCCCCCACCGCCACCACCCCCCCCCCACCGCCACCACCCCCCCCCACCGCCACCACCGCCCCCACCGTCACCACCCCCCCCCACCACCCCCCCCCACCACCACCCCCCCCCACCACCACCCCCCCCACCGCCATCACCCCCACCACCACCACGACGCGTGCGGTCTGCCACCGATACGCGCGTGTCCATCGGCGTATTCGTTACCGAGTATCCACTGGGGAACCGTCCCAGATTCCCTCAACCCCGCGCCCCTGTCGGAGCCTGTAACAGGTTCTCTAAACGGTTACCGGTTCTTCCAAACAGTTACCGGTTTTCGCGGCAGGTTTTTTTTTATTTATCTCGGACCCCCGACGGTCGCGCTCGACCGCGAGCCCCGGAAGCGGAAGCCGCGAGGCGACCACGTGGCCCTGCAGGAGTGGCAGCAGCGGAGGCGGTGGGTAGTGGTCTCTCCACTGCTGGATGGAGTTCTCCTCCCACACGTCGCAGCTGCGTCCATCGGTGAGCTTCACCTCCGCGGTGGACGCACTCCTCCAGGGTCCGTCTCCGAACCTTTGGCTGCCGCTTCGTCGCTGCGTCTCGGCCACCGTCCGAGGCGTGAGGCGACCTCTGCGCTCCGACTCGAATCCACGACTCCCTCGTTCGCTTTGCCTGCCTCGGCACGACTCCAGGCGTCCATCTCTCTCTCTCTCCAGCAGTGTTCTTCGTTGCAAGGCCCGCGGGCCACTGGCGGCCCCTGGTGGCCTTTAGTGGGGCCCCCGACAATATTCAACACGTGAAAAGCACCACCCCATCATCATCCTGCTGCTGCTGTCAAACCCCAACAATGGTTTCAAATGTGTAGTGGCCCTCACACTGATGTCTTATCGGCGAAAGTGGCCCCCCTCAGAACATGAGTGAAGAACACCGCTCTAGACTGCGCATTTCTCAGCAGCGCTGGGACCACTGGCCGATTCTTCGACTACAGATTGCAATCAACGTTTTTATTTTTTTGCGGTCGATTGCTCGGGGCCCCTCGAAGATGAATAATGTTCGTCACAATTCAAGTATTTTCTTAGGCCCAGCGTCACGCGGTTGGCGACGTTACCAGTCCCCGCTCAGCACCTCCCGTCCAGCGGCACGCGGGAACAATGTGAATGTGCGCAGGGCCTAAGTGCATTCGCATCCCGGAATGATTTACAAAACGGGACAAAAGCGAGGGTCGAGGGGACCCGGGGCAGCAACCTTTACTAGTTGGCCGTGGCGGGTGGTGGCGGGTTTAACGACACATCTACGTGATCTAAAAACAAACCTGTATTATAACATGGTGTAACAGAAAAGTTATCGTTTTATGGGATTTTCTTAAAGTTACCATTGTATTGAGTCAAAAGCAGTTCCCATGGTATGACTAACTCGTTCAAGGGGCGAGTGTATTCGAGTGTGAAGTGTGCACGCTCGCCTCGTGAACACTGGTGCCGCAAGCGGGAACAGACAACCGGGTGAACATGTGACTCGTGAACCAGGGGGCAGGGGAACTGTTAGGCGCGCTGTAACAGGATACAATTAATCCGCGACAAAATGATAAATTATGGTCTAGTTCGGCTATGATATTTGAAAGCATGTGCCTGTGTTCGAGCATTGATCAAGCTTTGTATCGTATGAAATCGGCCGATTCCAGTTTAATCCAGCATTCAATAATTAAAAACACGTCGATTCCCGTTCCAGTATTCCTTATATGGGCAAAGCCATGCACAATTACTCCATACATGGGTCTAAATTATTAACATAACCTATCATTCATTCTGCCGCGGATTCATTTTATCCTGTTACAGGCACATCCTTCAAACGCTCACCGCGAGACGAGACTACGTAGAGCTCTATTCACCTCCCTCCACCTGCTCCCAACACTGTTCTGCGTCTACTATACGGTCGCCCTGACGTATTCAGGATCCTCCATGGACTTGTTCTCTCATCTTCTTCGGCTCTCAATCGTTTTGTTTTTTTGTGTCCTCAAATCCCTCACCACCTTCCAGATCAGTATGAACTCACCGCCGCCTACTTCTCCCCTCTCAGTCCCTGCTTATGCCCCTCTGCTCTAGCAGGTCAATTCACCGTTAAGGATCGCTCATGGCCAATTATCACCACTCCAGAGCCATTAAAATAAAGACCACTTGTGGGAAGTCAACATTGGTGGTGTTTGTGGAACTTCCGCCACTGGTTCAGGGCCTCCGGTAGGGATTCGTGCCACCCAATACCCAAAAACCCTGTGTACACTGTACACGTGCCAATGTAATGTGGACATTTTTGGGTGGTGGAAAGTCTTCATTAATCAATTTGAATGTTGCATTTGTATTGAATATTAAAGCTAATAGCTGCTTTACCCAATTAAAAAAAATGCGAACCAGAATCCAGGATTATGAATCTTTTGAAATATATATTTTTTAATATTGTTAAAATAGTTACATGCGGATACTGCCCACTGGACGGATGTAACTCACATCCAACACGAATTCAAATACATTTGGCAATTTTTTATTTATTTGTAATCATAATATACTGGATGTGAAATCTGCTGAACATGAAAGGTTGTCCAAAATAATTATATTTCACATTACGTTAATTAACAATACAAAAAAAATGCGTTATTAAACATCTTCGCACGGTAGTTATCTGTAAAATTAACAATCAACTGTGCCTTTAACAGAAACATGACTTGCTTGAATGCTGTACAATATACTGCACAATATTGAACTGTACTGTAATGCAAATATTTAATTAACGTGAAAATGACTTTATAATATTCTGTTCTCATATATTGTTAAAGTTGGTTAAATGGTTTTTTTATGTTGTGTTCTTAAATTGTTACTTATGTAACCCAGATCAGTTTAACCCGTAGGCTTTCGCGACCAATATCCATAATATGGATGATACCTAGATCACCCTTGCAAAGAGGCAATGATATTTCGTGAGTTAATGAAGGATGTATAAGAGAACAGGAGGTGGCATTTGGTTGTGAATGTTATGGCAGTTTCTTTAACATAATAAATTGTAAAATGTTGAATGCCTTTTTTACCATCAAGGTAATGATTACACGTGAAGACTCGTGTGTGTGTGTGTGTCTATATGTACTAAAAGCATACACGTGTATGGCGGCGGATTTGCTTGTTGCATAACGCAAGTTGTCTCTTTTGCACTCAAAGAAATCTGAGTCATGAGTGTAAAGGCATGCCTTGTATGATTAGGCAAGAACATTGCGGATGGAAGTTGAGGGTGTGTGCAGTTTAAACTGGGAAATTCCATGGTGTGTGCTCTTCCAAGGTCACCATGGAAGAGTAGGCAAATAGCCTTTAGAGTTCTCTGGTTGAGGCCCTTCTTTCAGCAGTGGCGTGAGCAAACAATTTCAGGACTGCACCGCTACCATGGTGTTTTTATTACATTTACAGCACAGTAATCCCTACATAATTATCAGGCTGCAATGGGAAGTAAATCTGCTTTCGAATTTGCTGGCAGCAACCATGATGAGGAAGTGGAAAGAGCTGCGATGCGTCTCATCGCATCGGTGATTGTTTTACAAAAAATGCGAAGTTGGAAAAACATGCTTATGCAGATAATATGCAGCTTGTCGGTGAAATGTCACGGCATCCTGCTGTTACGCCATAAATGAATTGGACCATTTCTTCTCTTGGTAACGCATGGGTTAACATCATTACACTGTTGTTTGAAATACACATGCGGCATTAACATTTTAACAAAAATGTAATGTTATGATTGAATAGAGTATAAACATTAATGCGTTGAAAGTATTGATGAATGCCATGTGCTACCACCTACATACCGAAATCTAAAATATTCCATAGAGCATGGTTATTGTTATTCTGTAATGGTTTTTTTTATGTACAGGTTTGATTGAACGCAGTCATTAACAAAACATATTTAACAAAAACTGAAAAGTGCATGAAGAAGCACGGAGAGACGCATGCTTGGAATCACACAGAGACAGAAGAGGCACACATGGAGTAGAGAACGTACGCGGTCAACCAGGTCAGTGTCTGTGTTGTTGGTCGACTGGTTTTGCATCACATTATTTTTCTTAGCTTTGTTGAGTTTTCGTCTCATCTTGTATTTGCCTGCGTGCAGTTTAACGTTCTCTATGTGCGTGATGTCCCCCTATGTGTTCCCTCGCTATTTGTTTTACACCTGATGATGATCGCTTGTGTTGCGTTCGAAACGTGATTTATTTTAATTTAATTTAGTTAAATTTTATTTTGTTTCTACGTACGTGACTTTACCGAAAAAAAACAATGCGTATAGAATGTACGCTGTTTAATGGCACCCAGATTCTAAAGAAAAGTGAGTGGGCTTGGGCAGGATGAGTCACAACTAGAAGGGATGATTGACGGCGGTCAAGAATAAATCATAGAGTGGCAGCCAAGGAATGGAACGCGTCTGACGGGACATTCGCCAATGAGATGGCGCAATCATGGGAAGTAGCAGCAGCTTGTGGAATTATCATGGCTGATGATTATGAACGATGCTATTGACTGTTGGTGAAGGAGGCCGATTCTTAGATAATGGTGGTGGGCGAGTGTGAGAGCAGACTGCTGTGTCATTGTATTTAATTATTTGCCTTCATCCTCCCCCCCCCTATTTTCCTTCAGTGCTTTGTATTTGATGTTTTGAATAGGTTTAAGATTATGTTTGTGTATAAGTGGTTAATGAATGCAAAAGCCATATTATTTTGGAATAATATATTGCCACATTCCGTTTATTTTTGAGCTGGTGGTCTTGATAAGGCTGAGAGCTTTGTACATGCGATGCTGTACACCTTTTTCCTGTTGCTAATTTGACACGTCTTAAATTTCGCACCTGACTCCGACATCCTCATTGTGATTGCAGTTGTGATTCCCCCAATCACGGGCTGGACAGAGGAGCAAGCTCATCTCGTCACCAGCGCAATTCACATCGTCCAACCAGATGCGGCCACTGCCTAAGAGAGAAAATCAACAAACTCACAATGTATGCTTGCTTCGAGTGACAAATGATCATGTATGCAATCATAAGGTAGGGATGTTCAAGTTAAGACTTCAAGTAATTAGGTATGAAGTTAGCTGGATATGACGTTTTGTGGCCGAAGTGAAAGGCAATTCTGTATCATAATATTGGCTGCAAAAATCAACGTATTAAGTGAAGGATTGGCTTGCTTGACATTTAGTGACTTAGCAGCTAAACTGTAGACCTCACGAGAAACATCTGAAACGCAATATATTTTTTCCCCTCCCCCCACCCCCAAAATAAAAAATGTAAAAGTAATTTAATGCCCAAATGAGCATTGAGGCTGTGCTATTAACAGCCCTGAGCCATTAGGGGAATTTCCCCATTCCCGGGGCATGGTAGAGTCTATCCATAGTACAGACACTGCTGACTTGCCCACAAAGTGGTACTCATTTTATTGACCTCGGACCGATGACGAGTTAACCCCCCAACCGTCATTTGAATTTGCAACCTTTTGTGAGCCCCTCTACCATTTCGCTACCTGGCTTATTTATCATAATGTGAAGATGTATATGAATGTGTTTAACTTACCAGCTCCATATTTCTGCATCTGGCCTGCCCCTCGGAACCCCAGCATGCGGCACAACACCAGGATGTTGTTTCCGTTGTCCCATTTATCATCGCACACGGTGCCCCACTCTCCATTGTGAAGCACCTCTAAGAGCCCAGTGTGCCTGCCCTGACCACCGGTCAGCCGCACTATGGGAGTGTATGGGGACGACATCAAGCACAGGTGTTTAAACAACGTTAACGCTGACTTAACACAAGCACTGCTTTAGGATTCACAATTGATTTCCAGGTTTGGACACAATGATCTGGCCAAATTAAAAATGCATTCTGACTTTTGATTTACCTGAGGGTGTTTGACCTAGTTGGAAGTAAAACGTTGTGAGAATTTAGTCTAGCAGCTATATCTTCAGAGGGCGTTACATTTTTAGTTCACTCATAAAGCTAGAGTATTGCTGATGGTGCCATGATTTTGTATGACACACTTCTGAAGTGGTTTAGTTTTTTACAGGTGGGTTTGTTGAGGGAATTGGTACCGCAAATAGGCCATCAATCAAAAAAATGGTTTCGATTGTGTGTAGCCTGGTAGCTTTATGCATAACAATCTGATTACATACTGCCGCTGTTGTAAAAGAAAGGAAACATTTGAAGTCAATAGGACTATAACATTTTATATCACAATGATAAATTTCATAACTAAATACCATTGCTAAATATAAAGGTTGTTTAGTTAGATTTTAATATTTTACTCTATTTCAGATGGATTCCAGTCCTTTAAGATGCATTATGCCATCCAAGACTCTCATTTAACCCTGGCAGATGTGTTATCAGATGTGTTATCTCCCAGAAATGCAATGAGGATGTCAGACAAAGAAGACTGCACTGAGACTTGTTGTAGCCTTGTCTGCCTCTGAGAACAAAGATTAATCTTAACTCAACACTCAGTCTTGTGCTTGAAGGCGTATGCTTTGAGATATATACTGTATTTTATTCACAAGACAAGACTGCTAAGAAATAAATAGTAAATAAATAATCTTGAAATTACATTTATGATGCTGATTTTAGACATGCTGGGAAGAATCAGTTCAGTCAACCCAGACATCATCTTGAGGCATAATTAAAGAGCTAAAGAGCTCATCGGATTAATCCAGGATAAATAAAAATTATAATTATGAAGTGAATGTAGTTATTGTCATCTCCTGGAACAGTAAATTAAGATTATCTTGAAATAGACATTCTTCAGACATTTATATATCAGAATCCCTCAACAAACTCCCTTGTCGGAAGAAAAAGATATTGCACCACTTCAGAAATCCACATCCACCCTTGCTCACAAGGGTCATAGAAAAGCATGGCATCATCAGAAACGTTCCAGATTAATGGGCAAATCTTTCGAAAAATGTTGGTCCTAGCTGCTAGACTAATAGTTCAATTTACCGGTGAGCAGAAAAATTGCAATTGGCGCTTTATTAAACGCTCATGCGCCACGTGATGATTTAATTTGTTTGGCTGCGTCAGGTGGTGAAGGGTCTGATGACTGCAATTTGGCTAGATTTTTACATGGTGGCCAATCCCAAAAAAATCGATGATGAATCAACGTGAAGACTGCATTATGTTTAAAGTCGATGTTGAAACGTTTCAGTTCAACAAATGATTGAATCACCAAAGTTTTCAAATCGCAATTGCACGATTCCCCTGCTTGGCTTGCACCTGTTCCAACCGAATGCCTGTGCATGACCACTTTCTGCAAACCTACCACCGCCTCCTGTACGTGGCGACAATATCCATCTTATTCTCGAATGTCATTACAGATTATTACACGTAATTAAAGAAAACATTTATCAATGGGCTTTATTCCGTCCAAGAATAGAGTCCCCAATCCAGTTCGAGTTGTCTTAACAACCACAACAATACTTAAGGCTGCAGTATTAGATGAAAAAAAAAACACCAAGAAGAACAGGTGAATACATTCAGATGCTGGGGCACACTGATCATGGAAGATGGGTGGTGTGTTGCGGAATTGAGATCGAGGAGTGGTTGACAAGAACTCCAAGTGAAACAGTGAAGAAGATAGACAAGATGATGGTGCGGAAAAGTGGACACTAAGAAAAATGAAGTGACACTGTTAGAATTGTTTGGGATGTGGCTTTGGAGGATGCACAGTGTAACCGGATGGAGAAGATGACCAACTGCATTTTGGTAGCATTGGGAAGGAAAACGGTATAATCAACAGGCTTCATTAAACATGTATAGTGATATTCTTAGTTTTTTCGGTAAAGTCACGTTGAAGAGAAACAACAAAATAACAAAATATATATAAAACAATAAAAAATTCTCACGACGTTTCGACCATAACTCAAACGGTCATCATCAGGTGTGTCGGTTTGCATACATTTATTTTTAAACGGCACATTTATTTATTTAAAAAAAACGTTGGCGTCACGCGCAGCGATTGGCAGTTTGCCCAGGACTAGTCCATCTATTTTTTTGAAAAGAGGAGGGGGGAGACGAATTTTTTTATAATGTATGCTGTCTGAAAGCCACTGTAAGCGTGAACAATCAATCAAGAACTGAAATGATTTATCAAATCTTTCCAATGATTGCTAAGATAGAATCCATCTTCTCGGTTGAAATTGTCTCTGTGCTTGTATATGTGGATAGCCTCATGAACGAATCTCTCATGGAAGCCAGATGGCTTACAAAGAACCTCCGTCTTGGAAAAGTCTCCCAAGACGGAGGTTCTTTGTAAGCCATCTGGCTTCCATGAGAGATTCGTTCATGAGGCTATCCACATATACAAGCACAGAGACAATTTCAACCGAGAAGATGGATTCTATCTTAGCAATCATTGGAAAGATTTGATAAATCATTTCAGTTCTTGATTGATTGTTCACGCTTACAGTGGCTTTCAGACAGCATACATTATAAAAAAATTCGTCTCCCCCCTCCTCTTTTCAAAAAAATAGATGGACTAGTCCTGGGCAAACTGCCAATCGCTGCGCGTGACGCCAACGTTTTTTTTATAAATAAATGTGCCGTTTAAAAATAAATTTATGCAAACCGACACACCTGATGATGACCGTTTGAGTTATGGTCGAAACGTCGTGAGAATGTTTTATTGTTTTATATATATTTTGTTATTTTGTTGTTTCTCTTCAACGTGACTTTACCGAAAAAACTAAGAATATGAATTACTGCAGTCACGAAAGCTTTAAATCAAAATGTATAGTGATGGCGGAGCGGGAGACGAGGGTTTTCAGAAAGCACCTTATTAACACCTTCAAACTTTACAGGTTCGCCCTCGTACTCTCCCTAGTTGTCTAGCCTAGCCTAAACACAACCCTGACTGTATAACACTGACGGTGCTGACCGAGACAGCCAACAACTATCCGGCCGCGCAATATCTAGTGAAGACGGCAGCGACGAAGGCGGCGAAGACGACAGCGATGAAAGGACGAGTCCACTCCCAGAACCGGCAGCCCTGAGCTGCTCTCAGCTGCTTTTATGCTACCCAGCGCGCCTGGCTCCGTCCTGGCCGCGCCTTCCTTCTCGAACCCACTAGCAGGTTCCAGGGGCTTCCAGATGGGGTCGTCCGTGGCCCTTGCCCCAGTTCCTCCGCCCTGCCGACACGCCTGTGTATATGCTCACCGGCGTGTGTACTGTTTGTCCACCGCAGTTGCCGTTGCTGGACAACAGTCGGCACTATTACACTCCACATAGTTAAAGTTAGTTCTTAATGAAAAGCATATTGTTGATGTTGTCGTGCCACTGTAGCATGCCATCGTGCAATGCGACCGCCCTCTGGTCTAGCCACTGCTGTTAGGGGAGGTCTATTGGGAACGGCGACCACCTGACACCAGACCCGTCTCCAGGCTCCACTAATTCGACCTCATCTTCTGCGCCTTCTAGCAGAGGAAGTCGAGTCGACAAGCTGGTGTCAGTCCACGCATACTTACCCATATGTGCATGTGAATATACTCCCTGTGGACCAGGCAAGCCCTGAGGCCCTATCGGGCCACGCTCTCCCTGAGATCCCATCGGCCCAGGATTCCCTGAATGGAAAAAAATCAAAGCATAGCAAGCGTCGCAAAAAGTACTCTTAGCTCATTACACAGTTTAATTAGCCAAAGAGGTGGAATAGACTACACCATGACATTACTTCCATGTTGCTGAAGAGGCCGAATTAAATGACACATGCAATCCAACCATTGCTGTACTGGCTCCTCATGACAGTCATTATTGTAAAACAACAATCATACTGATTTGCTTTTAATATACAGTGAGGGTAAAAAGTATTTGATCCCCTGCTGATTTTGTAGATTTGCTCACTGACAAAGAAATGATCAGTCTATAATTTTAATGGTAGGTTTATTTGAACAGTGAGTGACAGAATAACAACAACAAATCCAGCAAAACGCATGTCAAATATGTTATAAATTGATTTGCATTTTAATGAGGGAAATAAGTATTTGACCCCCTCTCAATCAGAAAGATTTCCGGCTCCCAGGTGTCTTTTATACAGGTAACGAGCTGATATTAGGAGTACACTCTTAAAGGGAGTGCTCCTAATCTCAGCTTGTTACCTGTATAAAAGACACCTGTCCACAGAAGCAATCAATCAATCAGATTCCAAACTCTCCACCATGGCCAAGACCAAAGAGCTCTCCAAGGATGTCAGGGACAAGATTGTAGACCTACACAAGGCTGGAATGGGCTACAAGACCATTGCCAAGCAGCTTGGTGAGAAGGTGACAACAGTTGGTGCGATTATTCGCAAATGGAAGAAACACAAAAGAACTGTCAATCTCCCTCGGCCTGGGGCTCCATGCAAGATCTCACCTCGTGGAGTTGCAATGATCATGAGAACGGTGAGGAATCAGCCCAGAACTACACGGGAGGATCTTGTCAATGATCTCAAGGCAGCTGGGACCGTACTCACCAAGAAAACAATTGGTAACACTACGCCGTGAAGGACTGAAATCCTGCAGTGCCTGCAAGGTCCCCCTGCTCAGGAAAGCACATATACATGCCCGTCTGAAGTTTGCCAATGAACATCTGAATAATTCAGAGGACAACTGGGTGAAAGTGTTGTTGTCAGATGAGACCAAAATGGAGCTCTTTGGCATCAACTCAACTCGCCGTGTTTGGAGGAGGAGGAGGAATGCTGCCTATGGCCCCAAGAACACCATCCCCACCATCAAACATGGAGGTGGAAACATGATTTGGGGGTGTTTTTTCTGCTAAGGGGACAGGACAACTTCACCGCATCAAAGGGACGATGGACGGGGCCATGTACCGTCAAATCTTCGGTGAGAACCTCCTTTCCTCAGTCAGGGCATTGAAAATGGGTCGTCGATGGGTATTTCAGCATGACAATGACCCAAAACACATGGCCAAGGCAACAAAGGAGTGGCTCAAGAAGAAGCACATTAAGGTCCTTGAGTGGCCTAGCCAGTCTCCAGACCTTAATCCCATAGAAAATCTGTGGAGGGAGCTGAAGGTTCGAGTTGCCACACGTCAGCCTCGAAACCTTAATGACTTGGAGAAGATCTGCAAAGAGGAGTGGGACAAAATCCCTCCTGAGATGTGTGCAAACCTGGTGGCCAACTACAAGAAACGTCTAACCTCTGTGATTGCCAACAAGGGTTTTGCCACCAAGTACTAAATCATGTTTTGCAGAGGGGTCGAATACTTATTTCCCTCATTAAAATGCAAATCAATTTATACAATTTTTGACATGCGTTTTTCTGGATTTTGTTGTTGTTATTCTGTCTCTCACTGTTCAAATAAACCTACCATTAAAATTATACACTGATAATTTCTGTGTCAGTGGGCAAACGTACAAAATCAGCAGGGGATCAAATACTTTTTCCCTCACTGTAGCTTCCTGTATCTTTGGGTATTTTAGAGCACTTTAAACATGACAAGCGACTTACATCACATCTCAAATATTTAAAGGGCACTCTCAGTGGCAGCTGTCCCTGTGTGACACAATGTGACTCAGCAACTGGTCTGCAAGTTGAGATTAATCGGCCAGTCAGGGGTAATGGTCACTATGTTGTAATCCCAACTGAACAATTTGCAAAGTAATTTTTTAAAATTCACAAATTTGAACCGTGACTGTGGCACACAATGACCTACTCATTTCTAAAGTGTGATTGGTCATGGCAAATGATGATGAAGCTGTCTATGGCTTAACGCTACAATTCTGCACCTCAGAGGAAGATGGAGCAAATGTCACCCACATCGATATGTGCATGTGTGTGTGTGCACGTCCGAGTCAGTTCTGATTGCTCGTCTCACTCTGTAGGTGCGGCCTGCGTTGGAATTCCGCAAAGCATGAAAACGAACTCTCCATGCCAGGGCCCTTTGTCCCTGCAACACTCCCAGCTCTTACCAGGAGCTCCACGGGGACCTGCAGCTCCTGGGGCGCCAGCTTCCCCTTTGCTCCCCTGCACACCTGGGGCCCCGCTTAATCCACGTGCCCCCGTGTCACCTTTGACCCCTGGAGAACCCATGGAACCCTGTTCGCCCTTTGCACCGCGCTGTCCATTTGTTCCTAAAGAGTGGAATGGATAACACTGTTTAGATAAAACATTATTACACTTGTAGTGAGTCATAGACGTTCTTCAGAGGCAAAATGTTTATTACACAACACGTATATACAAAAGGGGTAGCTGCCCCTTTACCAGATACAGCCTAGGGTGGTGACCACCCAGCTAACTACATGGCCATACAGGAGTTATGGCTACGACGGACCGGACTCGCACTCGGGTCCTGGGCCACGTGTTGGTGCCTCTTCAGATGTAGAATGTGGAGCTTCCAGCTTGCAGAACGAAGCGACTCCGGTCCCTCCCAGGGACCCACCATATATCCTCCCGGGTCGGGGCCGGCTCCGTCCTCGGCCCCGCCCACCTTCGAGAGTGTTCCAGCTCTCTTTCGATCCTTCTCGAGAGCTTTCCCCCTAGCCCCCCCACCTGGGGGCCTCCCTATGGACACTCCGGATCACGTGCCTACGGGGTCAACCAGAGTGCCATGGCCCGGGGCAATCCTGTCCCTGGGCTGACACTTTCCCGCCTCCCTCTTGTGGGAGCCCGCACTGCACACTATGCATGGTGCCCTCGCTATCCCAGTGCTCACCAAGCCCCGCTAGGGCTGGTACAACACCCATCTACGGGGTGTACCTGATGACAGTGCATCACACACCATGCTTTGCTAGAGCCGGCCTCACTCAGCAACACACATGATGTTGTCCGCGATGTAAGTACATCGCACACCATCGCACTCCAGGGCCGGCACCACACAGTGACATCCCCAATGTCACTACACACTTAATAATCAGCGCGAAAGGTGCCATGGATTGCCCAACGCAGATTATGCATCACAAGGGAGTTAAGGTGTACCCTGGCCAATTACAGAAAACACTGCAGAGAAAACTAAATGTCTGTAGCGAGGCATAGTGACAGCAGTGAGCATTGGCTACGATGTTGGTACCTGCATCACCCTTCGGTCCAGGCAAACCGCGTAGTCCAGGATCTCCAATGGAACCCTTCTCTCCTTTTGTGGCTGGAAGGCCTGGCACTCCCACCATGCCCTTTTCACCTGCAGAGACGACATCAGTCTGAGTAAGTCAGAATGATTATTAATGCTCAGTAAAGTATTCAATACATTTACTTGAGACATCATCCCAAATTAGTCCAAACAAATATATTCAGGGCAGCCATTGCACTAGAATGTAAACAGACTAGGATACATGTCAGATACAATTGCAAGTAGAGTTATCAGAACGACTTGACAGCTTAGCAATGAATTGTGATGCAGATGCTAAGCATCGCCAATCCCAGCAGGTGATGCGGATCCATCGAGGGCGAGCTCAAGAGAATTAACTGGCCGAGTGGCAGCATCATACATCCTTGCCGTACCCATGTACAGCCAGGATGCACGGTGCAGCAAAATTTATAGCCAACGCTATAAATAGTATTTACAAAAACATACATAGATCCCCTGTATGGCCTTAAGAGACTTTTGGGGCAATAGCTGTTAGTGAGGACCTATGAAAGCTGGCGCAGCACACGAGGGGGTGGGTGGCCCGCACCACGACGGGCCGCCTTTGTCTCTTTAGTGGCGATGTTTACACACAGCACCAAGAACTTTACTGTATTTGTTTGAGATTGAGTCGACCCAGAGGAGGCCCAGGACTTCAGATAATTGTCACTGATATTGGCCGTTTAGCTGGAATCAAACCTGGGTCTCCAGGTTCATAGTACACAACACTAACCACTACACTACCGCTCTATACATATATAATAACAACCGTCATTTGCCACTAAGTAATGGTGGCGTCACCACGGTGCTTGCGCCATGCAGGGTGTACTTTGAGGCCATGTGGAGTGTTGAAGGCATGCCGGCTATACACATAGTTGTTCTGAGTATAGCCTAATCCAGTTTAACCTATAGGCCTGAACATCTTATTCCGAGCGTTTGTCCCACTAGGTAGAATTAGCTTTCTCAGTCCTCTCCCTCTCCAGTCTTCTATCCATCACCTTCTCGCTGTTAACTTCTCATACTGACTTTGGTCCCCTCTCTCAACTGTCTTGGTCGCAAACTTTCTTTCCAACGTAGTCTTCTGCCCTTCTGGCCACGTGTCCGAACCGTCTCAGCATATTCTCGCACAACTCGTTCTCCTCTATATCAACGCTCCCAAAACCGTGAGATCAGGCCAATTCTGGGTGATACGCATCAACGATGCATTACAACAACATCTCTTAATCCCCGACATTGCTCTCAGGGGGCACACAGCAGGTGTCAGATGCACACGTACTTTGCAATCACAAGCATCGCCTTCAGTGCATCTGATGAGCTATCTTACCAAGTAGTCCAGGGGGTCCACGTGGGCCGGCAGGTCCAGCCTGCCCCACAACAGCATCCCCTTTGTCCCCCTTGGCACCTGGAGTGCCGTTCTCTCCGCGTTCCCCTGCCTGTCCTTTGAGGCCAGAGAGACCAACTCCACCCTGGACACCCTTTTCTCCGGGATGTCCTTTCACACCTGAAGATATGTAAAGCAATTGCTGGTACATAGGTTGTGTAATATCGAGAACAGTAACATGTACACCGTAGATTGTATTGGCTTTCTGGATTTCCCTGAAGATTCGAAACGTCACATCTAATTGCTAAATCTGGTTGTGATATTCGTTTTACAACTTACTGGGGAGCTAAAGCAATCATAATTGGCGTGTTAAACGCTCATAAGCCACGTGGCAATTAAATTTGAATATGTCGGATAGTGGAGGGTTTTACAACGGTAATTGGGCCAGCCTGTTGGGCTTGGTCCGAGACAAAGTGGATAGCCTGGTGCCCATCGTGCCAGCATGGCTGATGGCTCATGGAGGTGCTAGGCAGTCTGATCTGAGACCAGAGTGGAGTGCAAAAGAGTCAGCACCTCAGAGAGTGTTAAGCAAAGGTCATGCGTTGAGAGAATGATAGATTTGTGAATTTAGTGTGAGGCCAAAAGCCGTGAATTTGCAGTCGAACTCCTCTTAACGGTGGTAATTAGTTCCATGAAACCGGTCGTTGAGTGATTTGGTCGTTAAGCGAATATAGGAAATACATGTTAAAGGCTTAATTCGTCCGAAAGCATCGAAAGTTACCCTTTTTCAACCAAAAAAGTACTTTATTATATTTTAATAATGGATTTTAAGATATAAAGATACTAACAGCATTACAAACACAATATTAAAAGAAACATGGTTAATAAATGCATTAATTAGTATTTATGATACCTACAACAGCCTGTCATTAACAGGGCAACAGTCGGTAAGCGAACACTTTGGGCTCTATGGAGGCCTATCATTGAGCAATTAGTCGCTAACAGCGGTGGTCGTTAAGAGAGATTTGTATTGCAAAGGGCCCGAGGCCACATGGTACCAGCGTCTCCCTTTGGTCCAGGCTCCCCCCGCAGTCCGCTCACCCCCGATGGACCCCCCTCTCCTTTGAGCCCCGGATTGCCAGGTAATCCCACACTCCCTGCAAAACAAGTGTCATCACCACGATCAACAATTCTGTTTTGAATTTAATCTAGGCTCTTTTTCCAGCCGGAATCAATGATGTGTAGAACACGATTTTAGTGGTCCTTTATAAAAGAAAATAATAATCGTGAGCATCGTTGTGGAGAATATATAACAAAATAAAAAGACAATTCGTCTGTTTCACAAAGTTGTTTCTCCAAACAATAAATATATGCACAATAAAAAAATATATACCATATGTATATATTTATATACCATATGTCTATATTTTTTTATACATCACATTGGCCACGCAGACTTCCGGGAGTGCATCATTTCAGCAGCTTTGGTTCCGCACAAGCAGACTCTGTGACAGTTTTTTTACATTCAGTGGCTCATCTGCAGATGCCATTTTCTCCAACTTAGTCTCTACCCTTTCTCCCCTGTAGTTTGGATGTTTTGTATTCTGTAAGGTATAGATGCACAGCTTACATGATTCACTCAATTTCAGGATTATTTGGCCATTTATGATGTCTCAGTTAATCACTTGGCAAACTTTGGTTTGGGCCGATGTATGTTGAACTTCTTTAGCTCCGTACGTAACCAAATGTGCTAATCGGAGGTGCCTCTTCAAACTCTTTCAGCTTGGACTTTGATTTCCCATCTTCACCCCTCCAGTAGACTAAATCTTGAATGCACATTTCTTACGACAATGCCTGTGGAGCTGTGCCTAGCAAGCAAACGAAACAAGTTAGGAGCTGGGAGGGTGAATAAATGGCCCAAATTAAAAATATCGCAAACAACAAGCATAAAGGGTGTGATTTTTTAAAATAACATAGATTTTGGATAAAGACACCAATTTGCATCTTATGCACATTTGCAAGTGTTTTGAAAACCTTCGAGTGGCCAAATGGTTTGAGATATTTGGATGTTGTTTGTTGTTATGGACAAAGGAGACTCAAGATGGAAATGTTCAGCAAAGCTTACAAAAGCATAAGCATAGCACCGCAGGGATAGTCTGTATGCTGTAAGAATGGCGTGAATACCAAACAAATTTTTGCTGTATTGATGTGCATCATGATAATGATGTTGCTGTTGTTGTTGTTTTCCTCGCACTTTCTGTTTATAGGTGGCGTTGTGTCGCCACTTTGGAAGGGTTTAGCCAGAGATCAATCGATACAATTTTTGGTCCGCGTTTTGGGCAACTGAGAAAATGGGAGATGTCTTCTGGCGTTGCTTGGCACAAAGGGCAGCAGTTTGGGACGTTTGGTTCGATTAGATTCTGGTAATCGGCTAGCATTGAGGAGTAACCTGAACGGAGTTGAGCCAGTTTTGTGTGAGTTGCCCGGGTCAGGGATTTTTCGTCATCTCCTATGGGTGGGGGCAAACCCCATAGCACGACATTGGGCTTGTAGGCGTTCAGGCAGTGCATGGTGGCAGCGGTGTGCAAGTGGTTCAACATTTAGATGGTGATGCTATTTGGTGGAAGAGCATTTAAAGTAGATTGCACGTTGGCAGAGCTGAAGGAAAGGAAGGTGGATTTCATTTTCCTAGCAGGTGCAGGGGCTTTGAGTAGCTTTGTGCAAGGATGCATTGTCGAGTGGCACGAAGCCAGATATTGATCGGTGAGAAGCTTGCAGTGTTCTTGAATCGGAAGAACTTTGGTTTCTTGGTGGAGATGGTTAATGGGCGCCACGAGGTGGCACCCTGTCGCTAGGCGAAGTGCCTGGTTTTGGGAGGTTTGGAGCTTTTGGTAACCTGTAGAGGAGAGTATTGGGCACCAAATGGGACTGGCATAATTGATGATGGGACGTCCAATGGCTTTGTAGGTTAGGAGTAAAGTCTCCTTTTGTTGACCCCAAGATGTGCTGGCTAAAGCTCGTAAGATGTTGTTTCGTTTATTAACTTTTGCATGGACGTTTCTGTCGTGTTGAGCGAAGCTAGACATGGTGTCAAAGGTTACACCTAGAATTTTGGGGGTTTTTGCTAGTGGGAGGCATTGGTTGTTTATTATGACGTTGGGATGTAAGTTGGCTTGATGAGGATCAGGTGTGAAAAGGGTGACTGTTCTTCTTTGGTTATTTCGGTAAAGTCACGTAGAATGAGAATAAAATAAGAAATTGATAAAATAAAATAACACAATAAAATTCTCACGACGTTTCGGCCACAACACAAGCAGCCTTCATCACCTGAGGCAGTCTTGCAAGTGAAAGGCAGCAAGGTATCTGACAGAAAACGGGCTAGTCTATAAATAGGGGAGTTGATCGTGGATACGATGGGTCCTAGTGGGGTGCCTTCTTTATGAATCTTGGGAAGACCATAGAATCTAGGGGGTCTTGCAGCAGAAGGTTTTAGGGAGGGACGTTTAGTTGGGTCGATTAGGGAGGTCGAACTTGTGATGATCTTGTTGGTTTTTATCGCTAGGCTATTGGTAGGGTCATTTTTAATTTTTGAGTAACTTCGATCGTTGAGCAGATTTTGGATTTTGTTGTTGTATGAATCTTTATCCATAGGCAACGCTACTGTAATTTTAGGGAGGCAGGGAAGGTATTGCTTGTAGTAACCCGCCGGGATGGTGTGCTTGCTGGTAATTGCGATGATGTTTCTGAAAATATTTTCAGAGTTATGCGTGGATGTGTGGATATGGTTGATGTTGTCGGCGAATAATACTTCTGATTCTGAAGTAAAAAGTGGCCAGTCGTGATCTGATCCCATCCGTGAAGGAATTTTTTTGTACTGTATTGAACCGGACCTGGAACTTGTGTTTGTTTAGAATTTTGGAAATCTTTTTAGTAACGCCTGCTATATATGGTAGTGTGATGGTTTTGACCGGAGTATCAAGTGGTTGTTTCTGTATGGAGGGAGAAACAGCTTGGCGGAGGCAATTCAGATCTACAAACACAGACATAATTTCAACCGAGAAGATGGTTTCAAATTAAGCAACCATTGGAAAGATGTTCTAAATCGAACCAAACATTAAACTAATTTTCAATGGTACAGTATATTTTTCAAGTAGTGGTACCCCAAACTTTCGCAGCTCTTAAAAATTCCCTTTTCACACCATCAATAGGTAAACTCCCCCTCCCCCCCTTGCCAACTGGCATGTTCACCCGCATGTACACCACCCCTACATCGTTCATCATGCTAAGTCGGCCAATCAAATGCTATTTTTTATGCTAATTCCTTTGTCAAGGCGCTCTGTTTCCTCGCACACAGCTTAAAGGTCGCGGTCTGAGCGTGGCTGTGTTTCACTCCAGCGCTGTCCTCGGGACAGTCTGCTCCCTTCACCTGATGAAGGCCGCTTGTGTTGTGGCCGAAACGTCGTGATTTTTTTTTTTACCTACGTGACTTTACCGAATAGAACCAAAGAGTAGGGATCCTTGCAGTCACGAAAGCTTTAAATCTAGGTTGCCACATGCATATGAAATAGGAAGAGTGCCAAAGTTTGTTGTGGGTGTTGAAATTTCCAATAATAATTGAGTCGTTGTTTGGTAAAAGTTGATTTATATTGAACTGATAGTTGCGAGAGCAAGAACTGGTCGGTGGGATGTAGACGTTGATTATAGTGAGTGGGCCTAGATGGGATTTGATACGGACGCTTAAGACTTCTGTGGTGATATCAGAAGGAGGCATTGGGATTTTAACTTCTTCAAATTGAATGCTGTTATGGATGAGAAAGCTAAACCGCCACCAGCTGTTGGTCGGTCTCGACGGAGGAAAGTTCATTTTTTTTTAAGTTGGGCGGTCGAGAAGTGGATTTTAATTTTGTTTCTTGGATTGCGGCTATATTAATGGAGTTTTGTTGAAGAAAGGTGGTTAGTTCAAGATATTTGTTGTTGATGTCGTTAATCTTTAGTTGAAGGATTTTTAGGTCGTTTTTGTTGTGGACGTTTTATTGTGGTTGAAACGGTGGTTGGGATGGATGAGGTGGTGGTGCTAGTGTGATTGTGCAAGGTGGAGTTGTTGGAGTGAATGATGTACAATATTTGCAGAACCAGCTGGAATTTGAACTGGGGATGCAGGCTAAAGTAATGCAGCGTTTGTGGTACCAAGCTTTACAACCGTTGCATTGGATAGAATTTGCATTGACGTTCTTGCCACAGCTGCCACAAGGGAAAAACGGGCCTGGATTCAATTTGACGTCCCCAGCAATAATGAGAAGCCAGCTCCAGTATGCTGGGAGGCCTGGGCTGGCTGGAGAAAAACAGGAAAGTGCGAGGGGTGATGTTGCCATTTGCAAGTGTTTCGTAGTATTTGGTCTCTCCACTTCGAACAAGTGGCAACACTGGAGAGATGATGTTGCTGTCGACGCTGGTGTTGCTGATCATGCTTTTGCTTATGGTGAGGATGAAGCAGATTATGAAATGTTCACCAGAGCAATCTGCAGTATTTCATCACCTTCATCATCAATGTCTGCATCATCAACTTTCCAATTTAAAAAAAATTACCCGCAAATTACTCATTTGGGATTACAGAGCAATCATCACCCCCCTACTGGCACACTGACACACCACTATCTGTGGCTTGGTGCTACAATTCCGTGTCTCATTGAAGGGTGGGGCAAACCTCACATATCGATGTAAGAGTCTGATGAACCCTGATCGCTCGTCTCACTCCGTAGGTACGGCCTGCATTAGAATTCCACAAAAGCATGAAAACGAACCCTCCATGCCAGAGCCCATTGTCCCTGCAACACTCCCAGCTCTTACCAGGAGCTCCACGGGGCCCTGCTGCTCCTGGGGCGCCAGCTTCCCCTTTGCTCCCCTGCACACCTGGGGCCCCGCTTAATCCACGTTCCCCAGTGTCACCTTTGACCCCTGGAGAACCCATGGAACCCCGTTCGCCCTTTTCGCCGTGCTGTCCATTTGTTCCTAAAGAGTGGAATGGATAACACTTTAAATACAACTTTATTACACTTCGAGAAGACATAATGAGGCTACGTAATGATTTGGCCACATTCTTGTTGTGTAATTCTCCACCCCCAACCACATTTAGCAATTAGATACGCAACGTCTTTTTTTAAACTGTCAAACATCCAGTTAGAAACTATAAAGTCAGAATAGCCATGTCACCTCACCGAGCTTGTTAAATTATGAATTGTAATATTGGCTGTGAAAACCTACATATACATTACTACATACATAATCAGCAATTCCCATGGAGCGCTTTTGGTGTCAGGATCATCAGTGCAAAAGGTGCCATGGATTACCTACGGTGGAAACGCAGATTATGTAAAACAAGTGAGTTGAGGTGTACTCCAGATTCTTACAGAAAACACCACAAAGCAAACTAAATGTCTGTAACAAGGCATGGTGACGGCAGTGGGCATTGGCCACGACGTTGGTACCTGCATCGCCCTTCGGTCCAGGCAAACCGTGCAGTCTAGGATCTCCAAGGGAACCCTTCTCTCCTTTTGTGCCTGGAAGGCCTGGTACTCCCACACTGCCCTTTTCACCTTCAGAGACGACATCAGTCTTAAGTTAATATGTATTATTTTACATGCTTATTATATTGATTTGAAGCTTTCGTGACTGCAGGAATCCACCCCCTTTGGTTCTTTCGGTAAAGTCACGTAGGTGTCTCACTGGCACGACCACCGTTGCGGTGGTTCTCTTGCGTGGACGCGCTTGCCTCTCACAGCGCCACAGCTTGTGTTACACATAGACATGACATTAACCTGCTAATCTCTCTGCCTAATCTCTCCCATCAACATAGTGCTAATCTTCCATTAACACTGCAGTTGTGCGCATATGCGGGGGCGATACTCTTATGCGGCGACGGAAGCTCATTTCATGCTGATCTCTCTCCCTAATCTCTCTCTCCCTAATCTCCCCTATTACCGAAACTGACGTGCTTTCATGCGGAGATGGAATTCCTTTCCAGCTCAGACCCCGCCTGCTTGCCCTTCGCCACGTATAAAACGTCTTGTTGTAACAGCTCTCTCGCTGTTTTTCTTCCTAGTTCAGCAGTTCCACTGCTGGATTATTTTTTCCGCCTGAGGACGACCGCTTGTGTTACGATTGAAACATCGTGATATATGTTTTATTTTATTTTTCTACCTACGTGACTTTACCGAAAGAACCAAAGAGTATGCTTATTATAGTATCCATACATTGACTCTGGATAGCGTCTCAAACAAATCCCTCCTAAAAATATATTGATATTCATGCTCTTCTGTTACCAAATTCAATGTTGTAGCATATTCTAAAGGTTATTCGTGTAATATTTTGGTGTTGTTGTATAACATTGGCAATTACCAATTAACATCGATAGTGCAGAACACAGCACGAGAAGGGGTGACGACTGAGAATAGATGGAAGAGGAGCGATGAAGTCACAGCATATTCAGGGGAGATACAGTGAGGGAAAAAAAGTATTTGATCCCCTGCTGATTTTGTACGTTTGCCCACTGACAAAGAAATGATCAGTCTATAATTTTAATGGTAGGTTTATTTGAACAGTGAGAGACAGAATAACAACAACATCCAGAAAAACGCATGTAAAAAATTGTATACATTGATTTGCATTTTAATGAGGGAAATAAGTATTTGACCCCTCTGCAAAACATGACTTAGTACTTGGTGGCAAAACCCTTGTTGGCAATCACAGAGGTCAGACGTTTCTTGTAGTTGGCCACCAGGTTTGCACACATCTCAGGAGGGATTTTGTCCCACTCCTCTTTGCAGATCTTCTCCAAATCATTAAGGTTTCGAGGCTGACGTTTGGCAACTCGAACCTTCAGCTCCCTCCACATATTTTCTATGGGATTAAGGTCTGGAGACTGGCTAGGCCACTCCAGGACCTTAATGTGCTTCTTCTTGAGCCACTCCTTTGTTGCCTTGGCCGTGTGTTTTGGGTCATTGTCATGCTGGAATACCCATCCACGACCCATTTCCAATGCCCTGGCTGAGGGAAGGGGGTTCTCACCCAAGATTTGACGCTACATGGCTCCGTCCATCGTCCCTTTGATGCGGTGAAGTTGGAATGGTCTTGTAGCCCATTCCAGCCTTCATCTTCTTTGGTTCTTTCGGTAAAGTCACGTAGAATGAGAATAAAATAATAAATTGATAAAATAAAATAACACAATAATATTCTCACGACGTTTCGGCCACAACACAAGCGGCCTTCATCAGGTGAAGGGACGAGACTGTCTGGTAGGACAGCGCTGGAGTGAAAAAGCCACGCTCAGATCACGACCTTTAAGCTGTGTGAGAAGAAACAAAGCGCCTTGACAAGGGAATTAGCATATAATTTAGCATTGAAATGGCTGAGTGATTAGCTTGTGACTGGTCACAGAAATGTCTATGTTAAAGTTAAAGCATACACATCCGCAGAGGCACCCCTTGACAAAGGAATTAGCATAGAATTTAGCATTGAAATAGCTAAGTTAAAGCATACACATCCGCAGAGGCACCCCTTGACAAAGGAATTAGCATAGAATTTAGCATTGAAATAGCTGAGTGATTAGCTTGTAACTGGTCACAGAAATAGCTATGTTAAAGTCAGAGCATACACATTCACCGAGGCACCTAGTACAAATCAAACAGGAGAATTTAGCATTTAAATAACTAGGCGAATTTAGCATTGAAATAACTGAGTGATTAGCTAGTGACTGGTCACAGAAATGGCTATGTTGAAGTCAAGGCCTACACATCTGAGCTATTCACAGTAACTGCTAAATTCGCCTAGTTATTTCAATGCTAAATTCTCCTGTTTGATTTGTACTAGGTGCCTCGGTGAATGTGTATGCTCTGACTTTAACATAGCTATTTCTGTGACCAGTTACAAGCTAATCACTCAGCTATTTCAATGCTAAATTCTATGCTAATTCCTTTGTCAAGGGATGCCTCTGCGGATGTGTATGCTTTAACTTAGCTATTTAAATGCTAATTTCTATGCTAATTCCTTTGTCAAAGGGTGCCTCTGCGGATGTGTATGCTTTAACTTTAACATAGACATTTCTGTGACCAGTCACAAGCTAATCACTCAGCCATTTCAATGCTAAAGTATATGCTAATTCCTTTGTCAAGGCACTTTGTTTCTTCTCACACAGCTTAAAGGTCGTGATCTGAACGTGGCTTTTTCACTCCAGCGCTGTCCTACCAGACAGTCTCGTCCCTTCACCTGATGACGGCCGCTTGTGTTGTGGCCGAAACGTCGTGAGAATATTATTGTGTTATTTTATTTTATAAATGTATTATTTTATTTTCATTCTACGTGACTTTACCGAAAGAACCAAAGAAGATGAATCCTTGCAGTCACGAAAGCTTTAAATCGAAACATTCCAGCCTTGTGTAGGTCTACAATATTGTCCCTGACATCCTTGGAGAGCTCTTTGGTCTTGGTCATGGTGGAGAGTTTGGAATCTGATTGATTGATTTCTTCTGTGGACAGGTGTCTTTTATACAGGTAACAAGCTGAGATTAGGAGCACTCCCTTTAAGAGTGTGCTCCTAATCTCAGCTCGTTACCTGTATAAAAGACGCCTAGGAGCCAGAAATCTTTCTGATTGAGAGGGGGTCAAATATTTATTTCCCTCATTAAAATGCAAATCAATTTATAACATTTTTGATCTGCGTTTTTCTGGATTTTTTGGTTATTTTGTCTCTCACTGTTCAAATACACCTACCATTAAAATTATAGACTGATCATTTATTTGTCAGTGGGCAAACGTACAAAATCAGCAGGGGATCAAATACTTTTTTCCCTCACTGTAGAGTGTGGAATTGCAGGACCATTAGAGACGGTGATGGTGTAAGGAAGCCCTCATCCAGGAGTGGATAAAGCATGGCCGATCATGACCCAGTGCAATAACGATTGTATTATTATTAACAGCATTGGTCACACTTTGTAATGCTCATCAGATACTTCAAAATGAAGTTTCAATCAGTACACATTGCTCACTAGGCAAATTGTTCAGAAAATATGGACCCCGCAACAACGTAGTTCGGGTTGCGTAGTGGGTCCCGCATGGGCACCCAGCCCCAAAGCAGGACACTATCTCTGTGTAACGCCAAAAACGCACCGCCCCATGCGCCTCCGTCTACGTAACCATTTTCACCATCGATTAGTGACTCCAAATTTAGAAAGTGGTGATCATTCTCTTCATGCAATTTTAGTCTCGGTGAGGTTAGCCCCACCACACACAGCCTGACGATCGCCTAACTGTGCTGTACCCTGGTTTATATATTGTAATGCTGTTCTGCATCTTGAGAATAAGCAGCTCTTTGACCTCTGCACTGCTCACACGCCCCTGCGCATGTGGCACGTACCTGTTTCCCCCTTGCTGCCTCTCTCGGCCATTGGCCCAGGGCTGCCTGGTGGTCCAGGTCTCCCAGGCTCTCCCTGGGGCCCTGCAAGACCTGGCAAACCGGCCTCTCCTTTCAGCTCTGTTAATTATATAAACATGCACACAGATGTAAAGGAATATACATCAAACAATAACACGTGAAAACAATGATGAAAATCACGCATTTGCATGGATTCTGTAGCATTTCCCAACTATTCCCAGCAAAACGTGAACACATTCCTGCGGAGGGAGCTGGTAGGAACGTTGGGTTGCTCGGTCAATGGCCAGGGTCAACGGCGGCGTGGTGTATTCCGCAAATATGCCCCACTGTGAGGGCGGGCACAAGCCGGCGTGAGTAGGTTAAACGTTGAGTTTTATAAGGGCACCACGGGGTGACCAGCCCCTCCCCACCCAGCCCCATCCCTCCCACCCCACACCCTGCCCCACCCTCCACACCCAGCCCCTCCCCACCCTCATCCATCCAGCCCCTCCCCACCCTCCCCTCCCCACCCAGCCCCACCCTCCCCACCCAGCCCCTCCCCACTCTCCCCTCTCCACCCAGCCCCACCCCTCCCATTTTTGGATGCACGGCGGACGGACACAATAATCCCCTGTGGGCTGGTGCAACCAGGAGGTTCCTACCAGTATAAGCAATTGTAACGATATGTTTAATTGTCGATCATACTGTTAAATGCATAATTAATATTTACGTTAATCGGATCATTGGAAATGCAAATATCAATATGGAATTGCCAAAGTTTCCCATCCTTGAAATGTATACAACTGAATCATCTCCATCAGCCATAGACCTCCCCCATCCTCATTCCCTTCAATGGTGATTTTACTATATTTGCATCTAAATAGGTTATGATTAATATAGATGCGCTAAAGCAAATGCAAACCTACTCATCCAAGCAGATGTCAGACACATATGACGAACTCGACTCCCATAGCGCAAGCCATTCTAACAAGCGGCTGTATCCCTCACCATAAAATTTGCATTCGACACAAAGAACATTGGAGACAACGTTGGGCTAAGAGACGTCCCAAAAACAATATCTGGAAACCGGATCCCACCACTGAACTACCCAGTGCTGCCCTTCCCTGAAATCAATGGAGCACATGACTCAATTGAATCCGCACGACCCATCATCACGCCAGATCTGGTCACGACCTTCACGAGTGGAACATTAAAGGAAGCCTGCAATGCGACTGTAGAGACCCTGTACAAACCGTCGAGCATGTTGTGACACAATTCCAATTTTTTATTTTATTTTATGGAGGTGCAGCCGCAATTCAGATCTCGAAGTGTTACTCACTAGTACCCCACATATATAGTAGTAACCAAATCTAAAAAGGTTACAAATGGTAATTCCAAGAATTTAATCTTGACTTAAAGCTTTCGTGACTGCAGGAATTCATATTCTTTGGTCTTTTGGTAAAGTCACATAGGTTCAAAAAATAATCATCACAAAAAACTACGAAGTTTCGATCGCAACACGAGCATTCATCATCAGGAAGAGGGGGGTTAGCTTCTAAAGGTAAACTGTTTATAAAGTTTTGACATGGACGTAGCCAAAATATCAGCAGCCAATGTTAATCTAAGTGGTGGGCAGGGACCGCAATGGTGGTGGGTTTTCCCACCAAAGGGCTGCCCAGTAAAAATTAGCACGATAATGTGGGATCGTTGAGCGACCTTCATGGCGGGAGCCCTGAGGTGGCTATGTTAATGTGAAAGATTAGCATGTTAATGAAAAAAAGATTCGTTCATGAAGCCATCCATATATATAGACACAGACACAATTTCAATCGAGAAGATAGGTATATCTTCTTTGGTTCTTTCGGTAAAGTCACGTAGAATGAGAATAAAATAATAAAATAAGACAATAAAATTCTCACGACGTTTCGGCCACAACACAAGTAGCCTTCTTCAAGTAAAGGAACAAAACTGTCGGGACGACAGAGCTTCAATGAACGCTGCTAATATTCGTAGCGTCTTTTAAGCTGGGTGAGAGAAGTGAGGCACCTTGACAAAGGAGTTTACATATCAAACAGGAGAATTTAGCATTGAAATAGCTGAGGGATTAGCTTGTGACTGGTCACAGAAATAGCTATGTTAAAGTCAAAGTTTACACATCAACAGAGGCACCTAGTACATGGACGCCAAAGGGGCTACAACTACCCAACTATCAAATTTTGATTTAAAGCATTCGTGACTGCAGTGATTCATATTCTTGGTTCTTTCGGTAAAGTCACGTTGAAGGGAAACAATAAAATAATAAAATATATAAAACAATAAAATTCTCACGATGTTTCGACTGTAACACAAACAGTCATCATCAGGTGTGAAAACCAATGCCGTAGGTTTTCACACCTGATGATGACTGTTTGGGTTACAGTCGAAACGTCGTGAGAATTTAATTGTTTTATATATTATTATTGTATTGTTTCCCTTCAACGTGACTTTACCGAAAGAACCAAGAATATATACCCAACTATCATACAGTAAACCGATGTGAAAAAAAACCTAAGTCTAAATTACATCAATATAATAAATGTACTCAATATATTTTTTTCACATCGGTTTACTGTATGATAGTTGGGTAGTTGCAGCCCCTTTGGCGTCCATGTACTAGGTGCCTCTGTTTATGTGTAAACTTTCACTTTAACATAGCTTTCGATTTAAAGCTTTCGTGACTGCAATGATTCATCTTCTTTGGTTCTTTCGGTAAAGTCACGTAGAATGAGAATAAAATAATAAATAGATAAAATAAAATAACACAATAATATTCTCACGACGTTTCGGCCACAACACAAGCGGCCTTCATCAGGTGAAGGGGCGAGACTATCTGGTAGGACAGCGCTGGAGTGAAAGAGCCACGTTCAGATCACGGCCTTTAAGCTGTGTGAGAGGAACAAAGCGCCTTGACAAAGGAATTAGCATATAATTTAGCATTGAAATGGCTGAATGATTAGCTTGTGACTGGTCACAGAAATAGCTATGTTAAAAGTTAAAGCATACACATTCACCGAGGCACTTAGTACAAATCAAACAGGAGAATTTAGCATTGAAATAACTAGGCGAATTTAGCATTGAAATAACTGAGCGATTAGCTAGTGACTGGTCACAGAAATGACTACACATCTGAGCTATTCACAGTACTATATAGTGTATATATGTGAATAGCTCAGATGTGTAGTCATTTCTGTGACCAGTCACTAGCTAATCACTCAGTTATTTCAATGCTAAATTCGCCTAGTTATTTCAATGCTAAATTCTCCTGTTTGATTTGTACTAAGTGCCTCGGTGAATGTGTATGCTCTGACTTTAACGTAGCTATTTCTGTAGCAGTTACAAGCTAATCACTCAGCTATTTCAATGCTAAATTCTATGCTAATTCCATTGTCAAGGGGTGCCTCTGCGGATGTGTATGCCTTAGCTTAGCTATTTCAATGCTAAATTCTATGCTAATTCCCTTAACAATGGGTGCCTCTGCGGATGTGTATGCTTTAACTTTTAACATAGCTATTTCTGTGACCAGTCACAAGCTAATCATTCAGCCATTTCAATGCTAAATTATATGCTACTTCCTTTGTCAAGGCGCTTTGTTCCTCTCACACAGCTTAAAGGCCGTGATCTGAACGTGGCTCTTTCACTCCAGCGCTGTCCTACCAGACAGTCTCGCCCCTTCACCTGATGAAGGCCGCTTGTGTTGTGGCCGAAACGTCGTGAGAATATTATTGTGTTATTGTATTTTATCAATTTATTATTTTATTCTCATTCTACGTGACTTTACCGAAAGAACCAAAGAAGATTTAACATAGCTATTTCTGTGACCAGTCACAAGCTAATCCCTCAGCTATTTCAATGCTAAATTCTCCTGTTTGATATGTAAACTCCATTGTCAAGATGCCTCACTTCTCTCACCCAGCTTAAAAGACGCTACGAATCTTAACAGCATTCATTGAAGGTCTGTCGTTCCGACAGTTTTGTTCCTTGTGTTGTGGCCGAAACGTCGTGAGAATTTTATTGTCTTATTTTATTATATTATTTTATTCTCATTCTACGTGACTTTACCGAAAGAACTAAAGAAGATGAATCCTTGCAGTCACGAAAGCTTTAAATCGAAAGATAGGTATAAACTGATAAACCATTGGAAGGACGTTATCAACCAGTTTAAGTTATAACTGGCTGTGCTGTTCCCATCCTACCACCTTCCGATGTTAGTGTTATTTTCGGATCTCTGACTTTACATTAACAGGTTAAAATGTTCACCCTAACACAGCCACCTCGCTCACTGTGCTCGAAGTTTTTGGTTAGCAATCTTCCATTAACATGCAAATCTCTCACATTAACATAGCCACCTCAGGGCACCCGCCGTGGAGGCTGCTCAACAATCCTACATTATCATGCAAATTTTTACTGGGCAGCTCTTTGAATGGTAGGAAAACCCACCACCGTCGTGGTCACTGCCCACAACTTACATTAACATTGGCTGCTGACATTTGGGCTATGCTCATTTCAAACCTTTATAAACAGTTTACCTTTAGAAGCTAACCCCCTCTTCCTGATGACAAACGCTTGTGTTGCGATCGCAATGTCGTAGTTTTTTGTTATTATTTGTTATTTTCTTTGAACCTATCTATGTAACTTTACCGAAAGACCCAATAATATGATTCCAAGAATTCCATCAGGATTCCAGACAAGGGATCATAGGCATTACACAGCACACAAAACATGAGAATTACAAATCAGACTTTTAGCACAGAAACCATGAATTTGTGTACTCGTTGTGTGGCTGATTTGGAATACTGTGCTCATAATGAACGCGTGAATGCCACTCATTCTATTCCCATAAGCTTTGCTCAGTCATCTTTCCCAACCAAGTTAAATTTTTTTACGAAACCCTCAGCCTTCATTTATTTTATGAAGGTACCTCTGGCATGATTATTAACGAAAAAATGCCACCGAGAGCAATGCATATCGAGTCAAAACCCATTCTCCCCTTCAGTTAAATTGTCACTGCAGTGAGAACTCCTCAAATTCCATTGCACTTACCTTGAATGTTAGAAAGCTTGAATGTTAGAGCTTCCATTTCCACTGTTAGTTGATGTATTCTCTCTTCCACAGACAGCTCTAAATCTGCAGAAAATCAAACACAGCATCACTGAACGTAAAAACAAAGCCCCCGTTGAACATGAATAAAATTGGATGTGACACATTTTGATCACGACGCTAGCACACAATGGCCCACTAATTTCGAATGACGACAGCGAATATTTAACGTCCAATGTGAAGCAGACAAAACGTAGTAGTTTATTGTTAATATACACCATGGTGTGTTATTTGGCTGCTATAAATTTCCACGTGATAAGCGACTTCGTTGAGCTATCACTTGTGGACAGGCCGCTTCTGAAAAAGAGCTACATAGATCTTGACTTAAAGCTTTCGTGACTGCAGGAATTAATATTCTTTAGGTCTTTCGGTAAAATCACGTAGATAGGTGATGGTTTTGATTGGGTCCTCAGATGGTTCTTTCCCACTGGTTGGGGTGATAGCTTTACGGATTGTGTAGTCTGAATATCCATTAATATTGAGAGCTTGGTGTATGTGTTCCAGTTCACTTGCTAGGTGATGATGGTCAGAAATACATCGAGCTCTATGGTGTAGAGTTTTGATGAGGGAATTGTTCTTAGATGGATGGTGGTGAGAGTCAGGTTTTGCCATACATAGCAGGGGTCACCAAATGGATTTCCAAAATCATGAACAAACACAAGATCCAGGTTCTATTTAACACAGTACATAAAATTTGTGATCTGATCCCGTCTGTGAAGGATGTGATCCCTGCCATGCAATACCCCGGCGTCTACAAACTAAGCTGTGTCTGCGGCAGTAGTTACATTGGGGAAGCTAAGCGACATGTCTCGGACCGTGTTCGTGAACATAAGGCAGAGCTGAAACACGGTATGACCAATACCTCGGCCATGGCTGATCATTGTTTTAATGCAGTGGGTTCACACGAAATTGATTTATTTAAGATGAAGGTACTTTGCAAACCCACTGGCTATCAACAAAGATTCGTTGATGAAGCCATCCATATATATAGACACGGACACAATTTAAACTGAGAAGATGGGTACAAACTGAGCAATCATTGGAAGGACGTTATTAACCAGTTTAAGTCATAACTGGCTGTGATGTTCCCAGCCTACCACCTTCCAATATTAGTTGTAATTTTCGGCTCTCTGATTTTTTTACATTAATAGATGCAATTTCTCACTAACACAGCTACTTCGCACGCCATCCTCGAGGCTGCTGCTTCACGATCTTCCATTAACATGCTAATATCTTACATTAACATAGCCACCTTGGCACGCTCACTGTGGAGGATGCTCGGCGATCTCCCATTAACATGCTAATCTCTCACATTAACATAGCCACCTTGGCGCACTCGCCGTGAAGGATGCTTGGCGATCTTGCATTGACATGCTAATTTTTGCCTGGCAGCCCTTTGATTGGTGGAAAGCCCACCACCGCCGCGGTCGCTGCCCACCACTTGCATTGTCATTGGCTGCTGACATTTGGGCTATGCCCATTTCAAACCTTTATAAGTAGTTTTTAGAAGCTAACCCCCCTTTCCTGATGATGACTGCTTGTGTTGTGATTGAAACGTCATAGTTTTTTGTTATTTTCTTTGAACCTATCTATGTGACTTTACCGAAAGACCCAGAGAATAGAGCTACATAGCTCAGTGGACCGAACCTAGAAGAATAAAAAAAAATAGTTAAAATATATTTTTTATTGTTTAAATACAAGTTCGAACCTCTGAAAATGAGCGTTATATGCGCTACCACTGGGCCAGGTCCCCGACCTACCTGGTTTCAACATTCTGGTGAGCGCAGCTGGCCCCGCTGGTGGAGTGCTCCACTCACAATGCAAAGATAATGCAAATCCTGGAGCCCATTGCTTGCTCAGTTTATGAAATAGCTAACATGTGGAAAGCTGACAGTAAGTGTAGGAATGCAGAATTTCCACCATTTGCTGCCAGCTGTCAATGGAGATGAGCACTGGTCGATTCTAATTTGAGTACGAATTTTAATGAAAGCAGTCATGTGCAGTACAAGATAAAGGTACGATTACATTGAGGTCTGAATTCTAAGTCACAGCTTAGCTCAGGTTCGAATCTGGCTCAAGTGAGCATGGGCCCAGCCATACTCGGGATTTTTATGAGCCGAGTCTGAGCCGAGCCACGGCTGAGCCGCTCATGTGACTTTGGAAGTAGCTGAGCGGCTCAAGCCTGAGCTAGGCCTGAGTGTTAGAGGCCGAGCCAGAGCCGTGCCGTGGCTAAGAATATGGCCTAAACATTATACAGGCGTGTCTCGCTTAATGAATGAGATAAGTTCCTAGAAAAGTGCTTGGCAAGTAAACACTCGTAAAACGATAATCGTTTTCCCATTCACTCCCATGTTAAAAACTGAGCTACGTTTCAGCCCCAAAAGTTTCCACTCTTGAACAAATAAAGTAATAAAATATATAATGTAACACTTACCACACATGACGAACCGCAGTGCTTGCAGGTCTCTGTCCTCAGCGTCTGTAATTAATTAGCGCTACCGCCCCCCACCCACCCATTACATCACAACTGGCAAACAAACAGCTGCGAGCCGCCGTGTGCCCCGTCATCTCCGCTCGCTAAACAAACATTTTGCTCGTTTTGCGAACAAGTTGGTCTAAATTAAAATTGATCGTTTTAGCGAATTCTCATGTAAATAACGCTCGTTAAGCGAGACGCGCATGTAGTGTCTCACCTGTGTTTAAAGCATGATGAGAAGATTCAGAGTGATTATTCATGTCACCTCTTGGCATTATATCAATCCCAAAAACTCCCGATGGTAAATCTGTATTGTACAGAGCACACACCCAAGACATGCATTGCGACCTATGCATAAACATTAACCACTTCACATCATGCAATGTGTCCATTCAGTCTCGTCCTGTGCTTTAATTTACAAAACTCTTCATCAGATATCTCCCGCCTCTCTTTTCCTAAACATTTACATTATCTTCTACCTTTTCTGAATACAACGCTCATATCCTATTATGAATCTATATTTATTCTACAGTAAAGGAAAAAAGCATTTGATACCCTGCAGATTTTGTACGTTTGCCCATTGACAAAGAAATGGTCAGTCTATAATTTTAATGGTAGGTTTATTTGAACAGTGAGAGAATTACAACAAAATCCAGAAAAACGCACGTCAAAAATGTTATAAATTGATTTGCATTTTAATGAGGGAAATAAGTACTTGACCCCTCTGCAAAACATGACTTAGTACTTGGTGGCAAAACCCTTGTTGGCAATCACAGAGGTCAGACGTTTCTTGTAGTTGGCCACCAGGTTTGCACACATATCAGGAGGGATTTTGTCCCACTCCTCTTTGCAGATCTTCTCCAAGTCATAAAGATTTCGAGGCTGACGTTTGGCAACTCGAACCTTCAGCTCCCTCCACAGATTTTCTATGGGATTAAGGTCTGGAGACTGGCTAGGCCACTCCAGGACCTTAATGTGCTTCTTCTTGAGCCACTCCTTTGTTGCCTTGGCCGTGTGTTTTGGGTCATTGTCATGCTGGAATACCCATCCACGACCCATTTTCAATGCCCTGGCTGAGGGAAGGAGGTTCTCACCCAAGATTTGACGGTACATGGCCCCGTCCATCGTCCCTTTGATGCGGTGAAGTTGTCCTGTCCCCTTAGCAGAAAAACACCCCCAAAGCATAATGTTTCCACCTCCATGTTTGACGGTGGGGATGGTGTTCTTTGGGTCATAAGCAGCATTCCTCCTCCTCCAAACACGGCGAGTTGAGTTGATGCCAAAGAGCTCCATTTTGGTCTCATCTGACCACAACACTTTCACCCAGGTGTCCTCTGAATCATTCAGATGTTCACTGGCAAACTTCAAACGGGCATGTATATGTGCTTTCTTGAGCAGGGGGACCTTGCGGGCGCTGCAGGATTTCAGTCCTTCACGGCGTAGTGTGTTACCAATTGTTTTCTTGGTGACTATGGTTCCAGCTGCCTTGAGATCATTGACAAGATCCTCCCGTGTAGTTCTGGGCTGATTCCTCACCATTCTCATGACCATTGCAACACCACGAGGTGAGATCTTGCATGGAGCCCCAGGCCGAGGGAGATTGACAGTTCTTTTGTGTTTCTTCCATTTGTGAATAATCGCACCAACTGTTGTCACCTTCTCACCAAGCTGCTTGGCAATGGTCTTGTAGCCCATTCCAGCCTTGTGTAGGTCTACAATCTTGTCCCTGACATCCTTGGAGAGCTCTTTGGTCTTGGCCATGGTGGAGAGTTTGGAATCTGATTGATTGATTGCTTCTGTGGACAGGTGTCTTTTATACAGGTAACAAGCTGAGATTAGTACTCCCTTTAAGAGTGTGCTCCTAATCTCAGCTCGTTACCTGTATAAAAGACACCTGGGAGCCCGAAATCTTTCTGATTGAAAGGGGGTCAAATAGTTATTTCCCTCAGTAAAATGCAAATTAATTTATAACATTTTTGACATGCGTTTTTCCAGATTTTGTTGTTGTTATTACGTCTCTCACTGTTCAAATAAACCTACCATTAAAATTATAGACTGATCATTTCTTTGTCAGTGGGCAAACGTACAAAATCAGCAGGGGATCAAATACTTTTTTCCTCACTGTATCTCTTGCTTTTCTCTCTTTCCACGTATCCCCTGTATATTCTGAATACATCTCTCCTGTCTTCTTCTGAATGCACCTCAGCCTCATCCGGTAGGTAAGAATGAGTTGGCTTGGCCACGTAGCCCACATGCGCGGCCACTCCACGGCACATGCTAGAAAAGAGTTGGACTGATGTGGTACGGGAGGATGTGAAGCTGAGTGGACTTGCAGATGACTGATACCAGCGGTGCCAATATCGGTCTCTATGAAGGAGGCTCGTGAAGGACGCTACTGGGCAGTATGCTAGGCTAGGTACACTAGAAGGCTACTGGGCATTTGGAGGCATCTCTTTTTAGTGACAACGGGGGGCTAGGAGCGACAGCGAACTCAATTATCAGAGTGCCGGGCAGATAAAACACAGCATGGTGGCATGGGTCTGTCACGTCATCTTCGGCCAGACACACACTACTCACCAAAAAATCTTGCCAGATACTCTATATTCATCAGACACCATGCACCACACACCCGCCACTCACTGGACACTCACCTGACACAATTCACCAGTCATCACTCCCCTAACATTTACATAACACACTCACCTGACACTCAAATCTCATCACATCAGAAACTCCCATGACAATACTTACCTGACACTCACAAGACACCCATCAGACACCACTTATCATGCACCACACTCACTTCTCACCTGAAAATTAGCCACTCACCATTCACCTGACACCTCTTATCAGACACTCACCAGATATGCACAATTCACCTGACAATTATCATCAAACGTTAACAATCCAATCTCAGTACTCATCGTACGTGACTCACCTGACAATTCTCACTCACGATGCACTCTCCACTCACACCCAGCAGCACCACCGCTGTGTGCAGGGCTTGGTCTTGCTGCTCGCTTACCTTCGCATCAGCCTCCAGAGGCGCTCGCTAACAGTACCTTGTCTAACAGTTGGTCTCAACCCAAGGACACCAAGTCTAAAGAGCAGTGTGTGTAACGTGCACGAAGGGTGATGTCCAGTGAGGATAGAAGCAGAAATAGAACACCCAAGGGGCTAGGGTCACGAGATTTTTAGCGTTTTTTAGAGGGCCCTACATTAATTTAAAAAAAATGCAATGTAGATTATGTGATGAATATCAATAACTTAGGGGGCAATCTCCTCCGTCACCTCCCCTCGGACCGGCCATTAGGGATGCTCTGCGTGGCTGTGAATGAATTGTTTCAAATGTGCTTAAGAGGTTCTTACTTTTCGGTGGAGTGTTTTGAGTGAAGAATCGTTCTGTGGAAACAAATATTTATCACAATGGCAATTTAGTCATGGCAACAGTGATCATTATTATTGCTACGCTTGTTAACCCAGAAAAGCCTCACCGAGACTCTTTTTTAAAGAGGGCCCTGCCGAGTTTTACAGGTACTTGAGAATCCGGATAAAACCCATCTAGAACAGGGGGAGACCACGCACACTCAAACACAGAAAGGCGCCCGAGTTGGGAATCTAACACAGGAGCTTCTTGCTGTACGGCACCAATACCGGAATGTACATGCATTCGGTAATTTATGTCCGTGTCATATCGTTATTAAACAACGTAAACTGAAGCTATTCTACTTTCTGTATCATATTTTTCTATTTAATCATACTCAGTACATTTACTGAGCATCATTGAGGCTATAACCCAATAGAATAGAACGAGCAACGTCATTCCTTTCACAACCTAATTTCTTTCTCGAGGAATCTGGTTCACGCTGATGTTTAGCTAAAACAATTTTAAATTTGACCAGGTAAGCCCCACTGAACTATACTGCTCTTTTTCAGAAGCTACCTGGCCACAAATGACAGCTCAGCGAAGTGGCTTATCACTTGGAAATGTATAGCAGCCAAATACTATAAAAATACATGTTTCTAACTTGAATACTCTAAGCGCTTCTTTCTAACTATAATACTCTAAACGTTTGTTTCTAACTCTAATACAATACTCTAAAAACATTTCTAACTTGAATACTCTACACACATGTTTTTGTAACTCTCCCACGTTCCTCCAACCTGCCCGGCTTTGTGGCCGTCCCTAAATGACGTCACGCACCGAGGGGGGGGGGGGGGGGTCAGACATTTGTGACGATGTGTGACGAGGGGGGGGGGGGTTCGAAAAATGTGACGTCACTTCAAAATGCGCAATTTGAAATAAATATAGACAACACGTTCTACTTAATTAAAAAGACTTTTTAATAAATGTTTTCTCCTACAACATCAGGGTGTAGCGCCACATTAAATACGCACTACAATGACAATAGTTTAAAGCGATTTGAAGCATGTTTTTTTTGGGGGGGGGCAGAGCTTTGTGACGTCATATTTGAGGGGGGGTCTGACTTTTTGTGACGCCGTGTGACGAAGGGGGGTGGGGTAAAAAATCGTCCAGAATCGCGTGACGTTATTTATGGACGGCCCCTTTCCTCTGCAACGCTTCAGCCTCTTCCCTCTCTCCCTGACCCTCTCCCTGCGATTCCCCTTCCTGATGGGCACTCCCCCTACTCTACTGGCGGCGCTGTCCCTCGCATGCGGCATGCAGCACCTCCTTAGGTCCACCTGTCCGCGTCACCAAACTACCCCCTTCCTTGGTTCTGACAACCCAAACAGTCCCCTTCTTCGCGTGTACATAATTAGCATACTTCGCTGTACAATTACAGTAACACCAATTAAACTCCATCAGCCGCTTTATATTTATAATACCATTCATATGCAGCATTTTTTTCCGCATTAGCTTGATAATATCAATGAATCTCCGTAATCTCTTGAAACGTACTTACTGAATTGTTACGCAATTTGATATCATTACTCACCAGCCCTGTTATATGATTAACGATGACGTTTGCGATATGAATGTCGAGCTGTGTGCCTCGGTCTATTCAGCCTCAAATTAGTACCTGGTGCGGTGCGTTAAAACATCGTAACTAAGGATACAAAGGCGGCTGGGCGTGGTGCTGGCCACCCAAGCCTTCGTGTGCGGTTCTGGCATTCATAGGTGCTCACGAGCAGCACTTGCCCCAACAGTCTCTTGAGGCAATACGGGGGATCTTTGTATTTTCTTAGTCACATCCGTACCATAGTAGAGGAATCCGCAAGCGACGAATGAAACTCCACTCAGTACAAAGAGCACAGTGAGCACGGACATCAAGCAGCATGGCATCTTGTGTTTCGCCTCGCCATCTAATCACCACACAGTGCACACACACACGCATAAAACAACGCATGTAAGCTAGAACCATTAGGTATGCAGTATACATAATATCATCTCAGAGCCGAATACGTATAAGCCATAATTTTGAATATGCTGGAAATGGACAAGTATTTTATTCATACATTTAAGCATTTACAAATTTATTGCAAAATACAGCCATCACCGCATTCGTTCTGGCAGGTATCAAGCGTCTATCCATTAACTAATGTATCCATGCATTCATTCGATTATTATTTATTTTCCATAATAGAGGTTTTTGGGTTAGATCGCGTAAATATAAATGTGTCGTTAAACCCACCACCACCACGACACAGCCAATTAAGAAAGGTTTGTTACGTTAACAAAACGTGTTAATTACTTACTAGTTCAGCACACCGATGTGTTGGAGAGTAAACCAACAACAATTACAATTCGAGTATTAGAGTTAGTTTCTGGCCGTCGCCTGATGAGGCGGGTTGTGAGTACCGGCGAAACGTCGTATTCGAATTTATATCTACGCGATCTAACCCTAAAACCTCTTTCTGGATAATATTGATCGCGAAAGCCTACTATGTGTTAAACTGATTCATTATTTAATTCATAATTTCATTCATTAATCCACGCGTGCGTTCATTCAATGATCCATGCATCTCTTAATGCATTCAACCATTCATTTATCCACGCATCTAGGCATCACTGTAGTTCATGCGCTGTCTGTGCGATGCACGCTGCCTGTGTCATGACCACGTCTGGACCTTGTCGCAGTCAGACGGGCTGACGTTTTATTTTAACTTGTAACTTTATCACTCGAATACAACAGCAACAACAACTGTGTCCTCACCTTTAGTGTGTGAGTATGTAACTAAACTGTCCTGTCTCCTCGTGCTGCTCTGCCCTGTTTCTCCCGTCTCTCCAATTACCACGGTTGGCTATGTACGGTGCGAAAGCATTCGACATACAGTACATACATACGTCTCTCGGTCTATGTCTCTCTCTCTCTAGCTCTATCCAGCGCCTTCCTGTCCGTCCCTTGTCATACCTCTGCTAATTAACCCTGTCTCCTCCTACTTTCCCCCTCCGATGGTTGACGCCAGCTCTCTCCTTGCTCTCTCGATCTCCCTCCTGTCGTCCCTCGTGGCTTCTTCCTCCTCCTGCTATTGGCGTCTCTTATGCACGTTGCCATTCCCCTCATTGTCAATGACGCGGCTAGAGGCTCCCGCACGACGACCCCAACACCCTGGGCTGCCCGTATCTCCCCCACCCATCCGCCGCAATGCCTGCAATCATCCGGGAAGTCCTGTGAATCGGGGAAAAAGGTCGCCTTCCCATTCACCAGGACCTCATGAACGTCCCTCGTCATCGCTTCAAGTCTACGCCGCAAGCCCTTTTGGACCCATGCGCTTAATCTTCAACAATGTGAGTTCAACCCCTACGAAGCTTGGAGAGCTGAATAGAATTCAAAATAACTCACAAACAAATATTTTGTGGAAGACCAAACGCAGGAGATCTCTGAGTTTGATCTTCCACGAAGCTCATGGTCCACCCTAAATCGCATCCAATGCACAAACCATGGCATACCTGATGCACAAAAGGACGATTAAAAACTCTCCAGTGTGCGACTGTGGTCATCCAGAACAAGATATAACGGCGCAATGCCCGATCCCTAAATATGAAGGAGATATCACAGCGATACACTCCACTGCTCCTGACGCGGTTGTCTGGCTTGACCACCTGAATGTGGAATTGTAGTTGTTGCTCTGCCATCTAGATCAGCAGCCGTACGAAAGAAGAAGACATGGCTGGAGCGACGCGGGGCTGTGTCGCTCTCCTGCTAACCGCGCAGTTCTGGTTGCCGAGAAGAGGGGACTGAGCGACACGTTCACCCTGTTATCTGCACACATACACTTTTCCTTGCGGATAAGGGGATACACAAAAATGCAGATAACCTGCGTGTGGATAATAGGACGGCCACTGTTGAAAATCAAAAGGGGAAATACAAGTTGAAGTTGGAGCCGAGTGTCTAAAGCGGTGACTCGATTTTCCATGCCACGCATTACATTCTGCACGCTACCATCGTGACTGCTCATATTGATCAGCGTCTCCTTCACAAGTCTCTCCCTTCGCATAAAAAACACCCACCACACCAGTCCCTGTTTGTCCACATCCCGCCATGGCATCGTTGTGCTCTTGAGAGCGCACAAAGCGTTTGGGGCATCTCTCTGGCGGTGTGGGTGCGGGTTGCCTATCGGTGCTGCTCCTGCTGCTCCTGCGTTGTTTCCCGGCAGCTGTGAGGGGATCGGAGCCCGTACCCTGGCCGAGGCTGTACTCCCCGGTGGGACTCAGGCAGCGTCGGCTGGATGACGGCTCCGTGACATTGCTCAGCAGCAGCTCTTGGCCACCCAGACTGATCCACTCCGCGGCGGCGGCTCCCATCCTCTCCTCGCCTCTCCTCGCGTCCAGGGTCACCTCTCCTCACCTCCTCACCCGCTATCTATGAACAGCCGTGCGTTTAGCGTCATCGACATCTGAGAGGCGGCTTTTTTGTTTATATTTCATCAATTCATATATATTTGTTTCAGTTATAGAAATAATAATTATCTATTTACCCAGGAAAGTCACATTAAGTTATGACTTCTTTTTTTTCAGGAGGGCCCTACTACATTGGGATGCTTGACCAACATCAATAACATTGTGGGCGTGTTTATCCATGAAACCGCATAACCCGGAGGAAACCGATGTAGAACAGGGGAAGAACATACAACTTACACACTCCACACACTCAAATCTCGCACTCTCACTCACACCACATTCACACCACATTCACACACACACACAAAATACTCACCGTATTCAAACACTCACATACCACTCACACCACATTCACTTACTCACTCACGCAACACTCACACTCTGTAGAACAGGAGGAGAACATAAAAGCTCCGCACAGAAGGTGCCCGAGTCAGGAATATAACCCACAAGTGTTACCACTGCGCCAGCCAGTTACCCAAGCAAGTAGCACAGTAGACACAAACTCCGGTGTGTACTGCACGTGCCATCGTGAAGGGTGCTCACTCACGCGCCCTGAGTGAAAAGAGAGGAAGCGGCAGCAGAGTGTGCGTACCTGAGTCTCCCCGCGTCTCCCTGTGAGTCTCCGGGGGTCTCCGGGACCCCAGTTCGACTCCTCTTTATATAAGCAGGGTCCGTTTCCCTATGCGTCCCCTCCGTGAGTCATCAACATCCTGAGTTAATCCATGCGTGAATCTCAAATTGTGAACATTTGCGCAGTTGTGGAACTACTTTTGCTGTGTCGTGAACAAGTAGAAAAACGAAATCTAAACCGCATCGGTTAGCACCTTATGCGCAGTGAGTTACAGTGCAGTCAGTGAACACTCAGAGCGAAAATCACGCAGCCTCATTTGTGAGTTATAATGCAAACGAGTGACTTCCGAAATGCAATGTTGTGTGAGAACACCATATATACTACAAATGCGATGTTAAAAGAGAGACAAGAGATCGTAGTGCATGTTTTATTGTTAATTTCTGAAAATAAAAGCAACAGGCTATGTTATGATTCATAAAATATGTTTGGGTCATGCAACATACCTTTTTTGTTCTTTTTCAATATTTATGATCGATGCCACTTTTGGTCTATTGAGTTGTCATTGGGTAAAACAAAATATATTGTTAACCTAAAACTATTATCACAATACAGAGCAGTAAACTCTGGGCATATGGTTATGGTGACGCAAACATTGGCGGGAAGGTTTCGCTGGTTCATGCAGAATGGCGGAGAGCGCAACGTGGGGGTGTGGCACGTGCGGGAACACTCCGAAGGCATGAATGATCATTCCACGAAACATTCAGGGCAGTCTTTTTGTGCTCTAAACTTATCGGAAAGTGGCAAGAATGGAGGATTGGGTGCAAATGAAATGAACAGTGATGATAAGAACACAACATAATACAAAGATGGCGATGTCGATGATTGATGAATGCTGCCCGCATGTTTCAAGTTTCATTTATTAGGTATAGCCCTGTGAGCCATGCGGCTCTTGAGTCGGATGCAACTGCAATAAACAAAATATGAATAGAGAACATCTTAAAGCGACGACGCGCAACAGAAACATCCTGGATAAACCAGCAAATCTTCCAGAAGAAAAAAACACCATATTACAACGCTGCGTGCAAAAATCCCAGTGTGATGCAAGTCAAACAATAACAACCATAAGACAATTTAGATTAAAGTTATCAGGCCAACTCCGCACTTCTGCAAGAAACATGGCTTAACCATATGTTTTCGAAATCACCAAAATAAAGCTACAAAAACAATGTAACAACAGAAATCATAGGAACTGTGATTCAAATTTAACGATATACGTAACATGTACGACCAAACTTGCAGCCATAGCTTGCAGCATGACACTCCCAGTGTATGATGTGTGAGTGAGTCAGCGTATGATGAGTGAGTCAGTGTATGATGTGTGAATGAGTCAGTGTAATATGAGTGAGTGTATCACGGCATCCTCCCCGCCATCACGGCCTCCTCCACACGGCCTCCTCCCCACCATCATGGCCTCCTCCCCGCCATCACGGCCTCCTCCACGCCATCACGGCCTCCTCCCCGCCATCACGGCCTCCTCCACGCCATCACGGCCTCCTCCCTGCCATCACTCCTCCTCCACGCCATCACGGCCTCCTCCCCGCCATCACTCCTCCTCCACGCCATCACGGCCTCCTCCACGCCATCAAGGCCTCCTCCCCACCATCACGATCTGCTCCATGCCATCACGGCCTCCTCCCCGCCATCACAGCCTCCACCACGCCAACACGGCCTACTCCCCACCATCACGGCCTCCTCCACGCCATCACGGCCTCCTCCCTGCAATCACAGCCTCCTCCACGCCATCACGGCCTCATCCACGCCATCACGGCCTCCTCCCCACCATCACGGCCTCATCCTCGCCAACACGGCCTCCTCCACGCCATCACGGCCTCCTCCATGCCATCACGGCCTCCTCCATGCCATCACAGCCTCCTCCACGCCATCACGGCCTCCTCCCTGCCATCACGGCCTCATCCCCGCCATCACGGCCTCCTCCCCGCCATCATGGCCTCCTCCACACCATCACGGTTTCCTCCCCGCCATCATGGCCTCCTCCACACCATGCGCCGGGGGGACCCACGCGGGAGCGTCGAGGGGGCGGCGGGGAGGACGAGGAGTTACTGGGCATCTCAGGGCTACACAGGGAAATCGGGAAACAGGTGGTCGGACAGGTACAGCCGGCATTGACAGCCTTGATTTAGTGTGCTGATCTTTAAAGGTGCATTGAAAATTTTTTATACTCCAACTGATGCTCTTGCTGTTGTGGAGTGACTCATGCAGCCATCTATGGCTACAGGGTTTGGTGGTACATGTTGTTTATCATTTATTGTGAAATTTCGGTCACAGTTCCTATGATAACTGATACATTGCTTTTGTGGCTTTATTTTGGTGGTTTTGAAAAGGATTTTGGTTTGGCTATGTTTTTTGTAGTACTGAGTTAAACCGATGGCTTTAATCTAAGTTGTCTTGCGGTTGTTGTTGTTTGACTTGCATCCCACTGGGATTTTTGCACACAGCGTTGGTGTACGGTGTCTTTTCTGGAAGATTTTTGCTGTTTTTTCCTGGATTTTTCTGTTTGCGCATAGTCACTTTAAGATGTTTTCTTGTTCATGTTTTTGTTTTTTGTTGAAACTGAAACTGAAACCATCACAGCCTCCTCCAAGCCATCACGACCTCCTCCTCGCCATCACGGCCTCCTCCCCGCCATCACGGCCTCCTCCACGCCATCACGGCCTCCTCCATGCCATCACGGCCTCCTCCATGCCATCACGGCCTCCTCCACGCCATCACGGCCTCCTCCACGCCATCACGGCCTCCTCCACGCCATCACGGCCTCCTCCACCATCACGGCCTTCTCCACGCCATCACGGCCTCCTCCACGCCATCACGGCCTCCTCCCCGTCATCACGGCATCCTCCACGCCATCACGGGAAAAACCGTCCCGAGTTGACGCAGACAAAAAAGCGCGCAGGCGAAGGACGCAGCGCGAGGTCGAGCGCGGCGCTGAAGTGTTGTTCTGATTTTTTTTACAGATTTTCTGAGCATTTCTGTGAGGTCCTGGGGGAGGGAAAATCCCTCAGCCAGGAAAACAACGTTGGACAAAGTGGGGATGACCCTGCTGAGGCTGCGGTGCCTAAAATATTGGAGGCGGATGTCACCCCCTGTGAGTGCCTGGCTGAGGTGCTATCTGTTGAGGAAGTACTGAAGGCGATCCAGAGTCTGAGACCAGGAAAGGCACTGGGAAAGCATGATCTCCCAATTCCTCAGTGGCCCACGATCACAAATTACTCTTTAATTCCATTAAAAGTAACCTGCAGCACCATACCTATTACCATCATTAGGGGAAAGAATGGTGATCCAATCTCTGACCCCCAGTAATAGGTTTGCAGATTTGCTGAGCATTTATGTGAGGTCCTGGGGGAGGGGAAATCCCTCAGCCAGTTAAACAACGTGGGACAAAATGGGGATGACCCTGCTGAGGCTGCGGTGCCTCAAATATTGAAGGAGGAAGTCACCCCCTGTGAGTGGCTGGCTGAGGTGCTATCTGTTCAGGAAGTACTGAAGGTGATCCAGAGTCTGAGACCAGGAAAGGCACCGGGCAAAGGATGATCTCCGAAGCGAAATGCTGAGAGAGGGTGGCGTTTGTGCACAGACTGCCCTACATGACATCATAACAAAAGTCTGGATCACTGGACGGGTTTCGCAGGATTAGAAGGATGCCCTGGTGGTCCCCCTCTTAAAGAAGGGGGACCGCACAGACTGTAACAACTACAGGGGCATCTCATTCCTCAGTGGGCCGGGAAAGGTCCTGGCAAGGATTATTCAACATCGCCTTGCTAGGAACGCTGAGGAGAGGCGTGCGGAGCCCCAATGCGGTTTCAGGAAAGGGCGGTCCTGCACAGATGCCATATTTTCTGTCCGTTTGCTACAGCAGAGGTGTAGTGAATTCCAACAAGACCTACATCTCTGCTTTATTGACCTGGTCAAGGCCTGTGATACCATCAGTAGGCTTGGGCTCTGGGTTGTTCTTCCTGCTTTCGGAGTCCCTGACCCTCTGCTCACAATCATTAAGGACCTTCATGATGGTGAGCTTTCCCGGGTAAAACTACTTGGCCGGGAGTCAGAGTCATTCCCTCTACACCTTGTTGTGCGACAGGGACGTCCTCTGGCTCCCACATTATTTAACATCTATTTTGACTACGTAGTTCGGGAAGCCTTCAATAACTGTACCGGAGGAATTTCCATTTGGTACAGATACAATGGGAGACTGATTGATGCCTGGGTGCGGTCAAGGAATGGCTCCCTATTGCTCAACCACGTTATGTATGCCCATGATCTGGTAATTTCTGCTCACTCAGAGGAGGAGTAGGAGGCGCTGCTGCTGAACCTGGAGCTTTCCACCAAGAGGTGGGGCCTTACCATCATCCCCACCAAAACTAAGCACCTGCCTGGGTATTTTGTACCATCGGACAGTCCATCCCCACAACTCCCAATTGGTGATAGGGCAGTTGTGGAGAGAGTGGAGAGTTTCCCATACCTTGGCAGTGTGCTCATGACCGGCTCCGGTTTAACAGCACAGGTCTCAAAACGAATCAGTCGAGAGGCATTACATTTTAATCGGTTGCGTAATGCTGTGTGGAAGCTACCTGGTCTATCACTCCGCCCGAAGCTTCAGGTCTTCTCAGCCACGGTCATTCCCTCCTTTCTCTACACTTGCAAAACGTGGACCCCCCTAATGGAACATCTTCGCCGGTTAGAAACATTTAGGCTGGCCTGTCTACGATCCATCCTGGGTTTAACCAGGCTGGATTGTGTGAGGTGCTCACAAATCCTTGAAAGATATGGACAAAGTCCCATCGGTGAGCTCCTCCAGCAGCAAGGCTGTGTTGGCTGGGTTATGTAGTCCGCATGTCCAGCCACCACATGCCTAAACAGCTTTTGTTCGGCCGGATCGAGGGGGCTAAACGGGCGTGGCACGGGCTTTAGAAGAGATGGAGTGATGTGGTACAGGAGCTGAGTGGACTTGCCGATGACTGGTACCAGCGGTGTCAAGATCGGCCTCTGTGGAGAAGGCTCGTGAAGGACGCTACTGGGCAGTTGGAGGCAGTTACCCTCCAACAACAATGGAGGGCGGAGGAGCGACGCTCACAACAATGAGCGGAGCGCCGGGTGGCTAAAGCACAGCAATTTGGCACATTCGGGGGCACAGGTAGTGCATCAGCCAATCATCTCAGTCAGCCGACCTGT